AAAGGCTACTTCTGTCATCATGCCTTCTGTGCTTGGGATTATAGGCGAAGTAAAACTTTGGCAGGGATTTAGAAAATTAGGGCACTTGGGAAATTAGGGCAGCTTACTTGGCCCCTGAGAGCAGTCACCAGTGTGGCGACTTCAGAGTTTTGTTTGACCTGGGTTGAAATTCTTTTTGGGTTTCTAAGACTATAACCACTTAAGTGTCTTCCAAAATGTGATAGTGTTTCAGACTTCTCTTCTAAGTGATTTCTGTATGTGCTGCAAATGAATAGCTTATTCATGGTCCCTCAATCCTCAGTACCAGTCAGGTGGAAATCTTCAGTGAATTAATCCACTCCTGGGCTATGGAATTTAGTTGGTTTGTTGCCCTGTCAACAGTTACAGGCTGTACGTATATTTGGGTAGCTCCTGCACCCCAAATCTGGGCCAATGCTTCTCAGAAGTTGTTAGTCCAGAAAGCACATGAAATCAGTTCAAATTCATCACGAACACAGGGGAAATGCTCTGATGTTTTTAATTCTTTTCTTGCTTCACATAAGTGTAACAAGCAGTGACATGAGAGGTATGTGATCTTGTATTGGATTCTAATACTCTAATGGTTGATTAGCATCTTTTAAAGTCTTAAAAGTAATGAAAATTACTGTACATGCTATATCCCTTCTTACATCAGAAGGGTCATAAGTCATGTGCTGGCAAATGAACTTATAATGGAAGATGTCTAACATTTCCTTCCTGTCCGGTTCCCATCAGAACCGGCTACAGTCTCAAAGGGCATTGCTTCTGCAAGGCACGGACAGTCTGAACCGGGCCACCCAGAGTATTGAGCGTTCTCATCGGATTGCCACAGAGACTGACCAGATTGGCTCAGAAATCATAGAAGAGCTGGGGGAACAACGTGACCAGTTGGAGCGTACTAAGAGTAGGGTAAGTCTGAGCGGATAGGGGAAAGTAGGTGGGCCCCTTATATCCTGATGCCTTGCCACTGCCAGAAGCTATGGCAGTTCAGAATTCAGGGTTAGGACCTCTTAGATGCTTACACTTTCCTTGGCTGAGGGATTTTTCTTGAAAGTAATTTTACCCTTTGGATTTAGAGGTCATTGGAGGCAAAAAAAAAAAAAGAAAGAAAGAAACCAGTTTCTGCATTCATGGAAGATTGTCAAATCTAAGATTGTAGCCACTCTATCTTTCAGTTCCTAGGTTACCAACCTGAGATTTTTCTCATACATCTAGTAGGATATTATGCTGTTCTTACGAAAGCACCATCTACTTAAACATTCCTAGTTTTTTTGTCCTTTAGATCCAAGGCTGTTTTCCACATGTCATAAAATAGTACTGCTGACAGTTTAGAGGTTCAGTCCTGGACTGTATAACTCTGTTGTTACCCAAGGTAAGCTAGATCACTGTGGGAAGAAAATGGGAAATAACATAGGCCAAATAACTATATCAAGGCCTCTGAAAAACACATTTCTCCCTTTCCATACACCTGCATAGGAATTTTAAAAATAGTACAATTTGCCAATAGAATGTTATATTCTTAAAATCTTTAAAAAAAAAAAAAAAGCATCCCTCCTGTTGTCTTAAAAAAAAAAATTATGAGGCAAATACAAATTGAAGAAGAGATACTGTCGGCAAGACTTGGATGACTTCCTCTGTGTGGGGATTGGAGACGATTTTCTCATATCCTAAGAGCTACAGTTCTCCATTCTTAAATCAGAATGATGCCCTTCCCTCCTCAGTAAAAATTCACAACCACTGAATTCCAGGTAAACTGTAGAGAAGGCAACTTGCTTACAGACTGTGTGGTTTTTGACTTTTGAACACATCAGGTAGATTGGTTGAATTTAAAAGCCAAGAAATGAGCTGAGAAATCAACTTACTTATGGCCACTGGGGTATGGGAACAGATGGCAGGTGGCATCTGTTGAAATATCCCCCAGCTATCTAGATATTAACAGGCAGTCAAAAGGACATAATTTTTAAAAAAACTTTTAAAAGAAGGATTCCTTTCAGAATTCCATTTGTCTGTAAGAGGGATAAAAAAAAAAAAAGAACCAGATCCCAAAAGTGGTAATCCACCAGCCTACAAAAACAAAACCTCAAGAGGCTTCTTTGGAGTTTGGCTGATGAAATTCAAATCTGAAGTTGCCTCAGTTACTGGCAAGGTACACTTGAAGCCTTTTTTTGTTTTGAGTAGCTAAAGTGAAGGATTACTTTGGTCCCAGGAGTTCCCCACAGTAACCTTGGGGTATAATAATTCCTAAGCCTACTTATCCAGTACTAAAGTATCTTGTCCTTTCTTCTGCATATACTCGGGCCATCATTCAAAATGGTTTGAGAGAGGTTTTCACACACCCCCTTTAGTGCCCACTGTCAGTTTAGAAACCTCCAAGTTCTACAGTATGTACTTTTAGAAGGGGGGAATAATTGCTGTTTTCTCTTCTCAGCTGGTAAACACAAGTGAAAACTTGAGCAAAAGTCGAAAGATTCTGCGTTCAATGTCCAGAAAGTAAGTTTTCAAAATGGAGTTGAGAAATTTTGTGACTAAGACATTAAACAGCGACTTGTAAAGGTCCTGATAAAGCAGAAAGAATAAAGTATTATCTTGTCTAGTTAAATATCCCAGGACAAAATCCTTTGTTAAAAGTATATGCTGCCCTGGGGCGCCTGGCTGGCTCAATTGGTTAAGTAAGCGTCTGCCTTTGGTCCCAGGATCAGGCTCCCTGCTGATCAGGGAGCCTGCTTCACCCTCTCCCTCTGCTCCTCCCCCCACTGTGCTCTCTCAAATAAAGTATATGCTGCTCTGACTTGGAGCAGTGAGAAATTTGTCCACTTTGAATCCCAGCTTAAGATTTTTCAGAGCACATGGGAATAACAGAGCTTCATAGTCCTTGAAATATATTTGTATAAACTTGGTTAGAAAAAAAACTTTTTACTGCTACGGCTTGGTACTTGATTTTGGCTCTGCTTGTCCTGCATGGGAGTCAACCCCTTATCAGGGAGTTCTGTCCTATTAGCAAAAAGTTGACTTTAAAAAAAAAAAAAACCTGAACTGGGTAGTATGCACAAAACAAAACTATAACCGACCAATGGAACTAGTAAGAGTGAGATTTTTCCTAAACAATGGTAAATGCCTTGTCAAACAAGAGGAAACCTTCAATTTAGAGTTAATAAAGAATCCAATCTCTGGTTCTCATGTTAACAAAAGAGTAAATTTTTGAAGCTCTTATACTGCCTTTATAAAGATATCCATTTGGGTTGGTGGAGGAAAAGTAGTTAGTGGTATATTTCTTTTTTGAAATATGATTCAACCTGATTTCAGAAAATGATATTTTTCAGGACACCTGGCTGGCTGCATTGGTAGAACGTGCAACTCGATCTTGGGGGTTGTGAGTTCGGGCTCCATGTTGGGTGTGGAGCCTACTTTAAGAAAAACTATAAAAATATATATTAAACTCATTTTTCATATTTAAGTAATCTCTAGAGCCAGTGTGGGGTTATCCTTAAGTTACAATTGAAAAAAGCTTTCAAGTTGTCACTTACCAGCTAAAGAACTGCTGAGTGGCTATGTGATTTAGGAAAAAAAAAAAAATTTCAATCTGCCTCACAGTATCCAGCCTTGGCCACAGAGTCAAACTCCTAAGTATTAAGAATGGAAAGAAATAAGGTCACCCAGACTTCTGACTGTTCCCTACTTTGCTTCTCTTTGTAGAGTGACAACCAATAAGCTGCTACTTTCCATTGTCATCTTACTGGAGCTGGCCATCCTAGGGGGCCTGGTTTACTACAAATTCTTTCACAAGCATTGAACTTCCTAGAGGGAAGGGTTTGTGGACCAGAACTTTGACCCTGTGAATGGTCTTAGAGATGGGGAAGAAGCATAGTGCTGCTGTGAGGTAATGGTTCGAGGATGCCAGACTGTGGGAGGTGGGAGGGGAGACAGAAAACCGCATAACTGTGAAGGAACAGCAATGAGACCAGTATGATATACCAACATAATAATAAATGCTGTTTATGACTTCTTTAAATTTACATAGTATTCCAACATATTAATACCCTGTGAACTCCCAAAAAACACACAAATTTACAGTAGTATTATTGGTCACCAAAATGGAGAGGGAAAGGAAACTTTACAATTGTGAGAATGTGCAAGTGTTCTCATTAAGGCAATATTGACCCAGACCATTTAGTGTCTCAAATGCCTCATAATTCTGGAATGTCCTTCGTGACAAACGTGTCAGCACACAAAATTTCCTAAATTCTCACACGTTCTTCCCTTTCTGATTCATCTGGTGAATTGGGAGTAGGAAGTTGGTCATAGACAATGTGCCCTCCCTCCCTTGTCTGCCCAAAACTTGAAGCAATCACATCCACTGCCAGGCTAGCTGTAGCCTTGGCCTCTTCCTCTGAAGCAGCCAGCTGAGGATTGACTTCAACAAGATCCAGTGCTGACAACAGCCCTGAAAGAACAAAGTATGACAGAACCTCAGAAGATACTCTAGCTGCTACTTTCGGTGAGGGTCATCCCACTAGACAGAACAAGCCAAGGTAAAAAGTCATTTTCTACTATTAAAAAATTACCCATTGTTCAGAAGCCCCTTACACCTAACCCTCTTCTGGGCATGAATTTAAGTTCAAATACTGTATACTGGAGTAGGATTAAAATTTATCATTGCTGTTCAACTAACTTAATAGGCATCACTGTCAGGCTTTCTGGATAAGGAAAGAGCTTGTGGGGAAGAGGTAGACAAGGATTTTCTAACCTGCTCAGGAAAAGGTATGCCATGTCCAGTATTACTAGGAACCTTCCAGATGTCTGTATGTAGTTGTGTAAAGAGCTGTTCCCATTTTTGAACTCTTACGCTCTCTTAAGGCACCCCACATGCCCTAAATATAGTTATTAGTGCATCTCTTAGTCTTATCCCTGCAGGTCTGAGCTGAGGGAAGAGTTGGCCATACTTTAATTTGGACTTACCTTCTGTGATGGTTTAAGAACTTCTACTAAAGGGCTTGAGAAGGGAAGATTAGACCAGAAGAACCTATCCAGACCTGCCTTCTACTCCCCACCTCCAACACACAAGCTGAGGTATTTAACAGTTTAGTTGGTTATTCTGGGTGAAGTTAATCTACCTCTTCAAGTCATCTGAACAAACTAGTATTGGAGAATACAAGTATCAGAATCCTTAGGGTAGCCATAAAGCCTGGAAACATGGGTGTATATACCTACTGGCTTATTGATATTACAGTGTAATACATGGTATCAATGCCATTATATCTGTTTAGTGTGCAGTCCCTTATTAGCAGTGCATAGTCCAAGCATGTTACTGCAGCATTTCCACTGTGCAAGCATCTGGGTGTCTGATGATCTGTCTCATTTCCACTAACTAAACCTGAGTCTTTGGTGTATCCCAGAAGTAATCAAGAGTGTTTGAGCTATTAAAAACATGTAATTACCCATGTTTTCCAGACTATTGCCACCCTCTAATTTAAGCAAAGTGCTTTATATAGCTAGTTAAGTGTCATGATAGTCTTTTGGACTAGAATAATGTAGCAGGGGAGGGAGAGACAAGGTGTGATCACTGCCCCATCTAACTACTAGACGTTACTAACCCTTGCTCGAAGTAGCGTCATTGGGAACCAAAATGGAGGATTGAACACACAGGTTCACTGGCCACTAACCAAGACAACTGTAACATCTAAGATTGTGGGTCTGAGAAGGAGACTATCTTACCACTGTCAGACCTGATGAACCTAAGCATTCTTTTCCTTCCTTTAGTGCCTAAGGTTCCAGTAGGCTCCAGAGAGACCATTTCTCAATTTCCTTATCTATCCCAACCATTCAAGGGTTTCCCGTAGCTCTAGACCTTTCATTGTGGGCTCTCTCTGCTGTTTAGACCCCAGTTTCATGAAATGGTATTGAAGTATCATGCGGTAGTAGTTTAAATTTTGCAAGGAAAGGTCATTTAGAATAACCTTCAGGAACTAGAAGCTTTCTGACGGAAATGGAAACTGCAAACAAGTATGAATGTGGGAACAGTAACCTGTGTAGCCATTCTTAATAATCTAGCACTCATTTTACTAATCTTTTGTCAACCATTCATCTTTAGTATCCCCATATTAAAACTCCTATCAAATAAGCTCTAGTATAAGGCTTATCCCTTATGAAAAGACCCAAGATACTGTCCAACTTTGAAATATCTTTAAGGTTTAACTCCACATTCTCAACTCCAGGTGAACTCACTCTTAATATGTCAGCTATACTAAAAATTATAGCTACTTGGCCTTGCCTTTTAATCTGAGTCTGCCTTTAGACAATTCAGATGCAAAGAACTACATCGGTTTGGCAGGTTATTCTTGTACTTAGTAAGTATTTAAGTAGATAATTTTTATTCAATACTACCTTAGCATATTTTGATATGAGCCAGGTCCAAACATGCCTCTAAATGACTATCCTTTATTAGCCTGACCATGTGGTTTTTAAAGTTTAAACGAAAACAGTATTGGTAATGACATGGAATAGTAGAAAAAACCTTCGGGCATGCAAGAGGTGTCGGCACATTTACTCCGAGTGAACAGGTGGATCCCTTCTTACCTGTATTATGTATTTCCTCAGTGATATACATGCCTTCTCGATAGGTCAGTCCCCCTGCAACAGGGGTTCCAGTGGCTGGAGCCAGGGTAGGGTCAAATGCATCAATATCAAAACTCAGATGGATTGGCCTTTGTCTTCTTGAGGGGAAGATGATACAAACAGTCATTTGGGTGTGCTTGGACATTGATCCTTCCTACAGTTGCAGCTCCTTGATTTTGTTGCTGTTAGTCCTGGTAGTTTGCTAATACAGACTTTCAGGGTTCCTATTCTGGAAGTTATTATGTATTACCATATTAGCTTCCTACACACCACCTCATAATTTTGCCATTTGTTCTTTGTGCCTTAGACTAACTCCATTTTATATTTCTGACATAACCTAGGCATTAGAGCCTTTTGCATTAACAATTCTTCACTTCCCTTTGAGACTGGGCTCTGACAGAGTCTAGCTTAAGTTAGACTGACCTAGGTTATAGTTGCTCTTATTTTCTCCATGTAATAGCAGCTGAACTTAATTGATTTGGTGTCTGTAATCTTATCTCCCAATTCTAACTTCAGTTTAGCACAGGTGTCCAAAAGTAGAAACTAGCATACAACACATATATGCTAGGTAACTGAAATTTCTTACAGCTTAAGAAATGTAATTGCTACCTAGTAGTATGCCATTAATCACTTGGAAATAAAGACTCAGCACTGAGAACATGCTCTTAAAACTAGCTTTTGGCATTTATCTGCCATCTTTCTATATTACCAAGATTTGCTCAATATAAAACTTTCAGATGAAGCAACAGTGAGCTTAGGAAGAAGGGAATAGTTGAATGAATGCTTCCCATCTTCAAAAGATGGGCAGTAAAAATGGAGCTAAAGAAAAATTCATGAGACACAGAGGAGCCAGGCAGTGACTTCAAGGAAAGCCCCTCCCAACCCCCGAGGAAGAATAGGACCTATGTTTCATATTCTCCCTTTCCAAATTATTTGAATTTTTTGTACGTGTACATATTTTGCTTTTATTTTAAAAGAAAAGCTGCTATTCTCAAGAGATAGGCTAAAGTGTGCTGCTTGTTGAGAGTCTGCCCTATTCCCTTTGGGACTTTTCCCTTTGGAAATAGACATCATAAGTTACTTACTTGCCAATTAGCAGATCAAATGTCTGTTCCATGACCTTCTGAATACCAAGTCGATCTATGTCTCTCATGGAAAAATACTGGATATCATAATTCTTTAAAATAAAACTGTGAGATATAAAGGAGTCCTTAGTTTAAAAACATCTTTAATCAAATGCATGTTGGGGTGGGGGTTTGTCCTGTTCGTGACCTACAAGAGATTACGGCAAGGAACAACCTATCAAAAGGAACCTAAATGGCTGGGACGGACCCAGTGCTTAACCCCAGTGTATCAACTTACTGTTCAGGAGGGTCCACATCTCTTAGACCAATATACACAATACTTGGGGAAGAGATACAAGGTTTGATCCAGGAAAATCCTGGGAGTTGTGGTACCTGTCAAAAGAGGAATGGACAGGATTCAAGGATTCTTGGTCTCACCAAGATAATCACCATGTGCTTCCCATTGTATGCAGTCTGCTTTCTCCTACCTACAGGATATGCTTAATTAACACAAGACACACTTGATCTGGGAAAGAGAACTTATAAAAGTGGAAGTGATTCAGAAGGCAGCTGAAGAACAGATTTCTCAAAATTAAAAAAAAAAAAAAAAAATTCTCCTAAGCTGGCCACGGTTTCTCATTAACTTACCTAAACAACAGGAATACTGCTGATTAGCCCTTTTCCACCCCTTTGTACATTACTGAATTGTTTACACATTGGTTCTTGAAATACAACCCAGTTGCCATCTTAAGTTGTCTACAGCCAAAACACGAATTCTGCCTAATGAATAACTTTTGTACTATCCTGGTTTAACTTGGTCTCTCACTGAGGGGAAGGATATACAGATTCTAGTCTATGCCTAACATGGACTCCCATGTCTTCTGAACAGCCTAGGAAGATAATTACCTAGAGGTAATCGCGGTTTTGCTTTCCTCTAGACCAGTGGGTCTGAGAGTGAGGCATGCCTGGGAGCATCTAACCAAGAAGTCCTCCTGCTGTGGGTATATCAATCACTAGAGTTACCACCCACTGCCACTTTCCTTTCTTGCAAGTTATGACACACACACCCTACCTTCCCTCCCCCCCCCCCCCCCCCCCCCCCCCCCCCCCCCCCTGCCAAGAGCAAGGACCATGTCCTCGTCCTCTTTTGAGCCCTAGCATTAGTAGACTGCTTGGCCCATAATGTTTGATGAACAAATGAAGGAATAGTAAAGATTCCTACCACCACCATCAGCCCATCCTTCATAGAAATCTTACTGAACTAGTTCTTCAGAGCCCCAGCATAACCCCTGCTAGCCATTCAGCCTTTTCATTTCAGCCCACTGACCTTGTCCTGTAGTTCTCTGAGGAGAAATGAAACTGGCTGTCCATGGAGATTTCCAGATGCAGTGGTGAGGGGTGTATTGATGTCAGCATGGGCATCAACCCAGATCACACAAAGGTCTGGGCAGTGCCGGGCGTGGCCACTAATGGTTCCGATTGCCAGGCTACAAGGAACAAACAATAATTGAGGCCCTCTGCTTGGCACACCTCACCAATAACAAATATCTTTAGTCAGTGCAGTTCACACTTTGTCCTCAGGGCAAAGTCAGGGCCCCAGACTAAGGCTGGATTTGGATGACCAAAAGTCCCTCGGCCTGTAGTACCCAAAGACTAACCTTAAGTGAGTTAGGGAGAAATGGAAGGATCCAAGGATTCAAAACTTGTTGACTAGTTACCCTTCTAGTTTGACAGATGTCATTGCTGCCCCCAAATCCCTAAAATTTGATCCATTAGCCCCAGCCCAGGAAAGGACCTCAGGTATTTGTTCAATCAATGAAATCCAGTTAAATGATGTGTTCTATATGTAACAACTCACAAATATTTAATACTTTGTAAGGAAGACCAGGGAGATCTAATTATTTTCAAAAAATCAGTCACTTTTTAAGGATAAAAATTTGCATTATAGCTTTTTAGAAAGTAATAATTTTGACATTTCCTTTTAGGAAGTATAGAGACATTAAAGTAATGTCTTTTTACAATTAAAGACCTCATTTAAATGACTGAATGTTTATTTGCATGTTACCTTCTATATATTAGCATGGCATTCAAATATCAATGTTTTTTTTTTTTTTTTTGCCTCTCCTTGTCCTTGGACTCTGTGTACATTGGCCAATTGTCCTGTCTCAGGTATAGGAATATAGCTGATGAAATCATGCTTGGAAAGCTGCCCAGCTTCCCAGTAACTGAAGAATTTGACATAGATGGGAAATGTAACTTAAGGGGCACCTGGTGGCTCACTTGGTTAAAATGTCTGCCTTCAGGGCGCCTGGGTAGCTCAGTTGGTTAAGCGACTGTCTTCGGCTCAGGTCATGATCCTGGAGTCCCAGGATCGAGTCCCGCATTGGGCTCCCTGCTCAGCAGGGAGTCTGCTTCTCCCTCTGACCCTCTTCCCTCTAGTGCTCTCTCTCATTCTCTCTCTCTCTCAAATAAATAAAAATCTTTAAAAAAAAACAAAAAACTCAGTTTAAAAAAAAAAAAAAAGTCTGCCTTCAGCTCAGGTTATGATCCCAGGGTCCTGGGATCAAGCCCCACGTCAGGCTCCCTGCTCAGGAGGAAGCCTGCTTCTCCCTCTCCCACGCCCCCTGCTTGTGTTCCCTTTCTGGCTGTGTCTGTCAAAAAAAAATCTTAAAAAAGAAAAAGAAATGCAACTTAAACCCTTTAGGAACTAACTCCAGCTATCCTTCTTAGTATGACATGAGATAGCATTTTAAGTTCCATGCTCCACGTAGGGCCTTTTTGAAGGATAAGCATGGTCTAGTGTGAAAAGCAGTGGATTAAGTCAGAATACTGGGGTTTTTCCCAGAAAGCCAGGTAATTTAGGAAAAGTCATTTAGTTTTGCTAGACAGTTTCCTTTTTCTAGAAGAAAGGGATAATAATCTTGTCTTGTTTAAGTCAGAGTTAGTCTGACATCTACGGGAATAATTTATACTGTGTAAAAGGAGCAGGGTGACCTAAAGATGCCTCCTTCCTTTAAAATGTTCAATAGCTGTTCAGTTTATATACTCATCCCTTCCTTTCTAGAATCTTCAGATAGCCTAGGTTTTAGCACTGAACAGGGAATAGGGAATAGTGACAGGGCTGCTGCAATAGGTAGCTATAGACAAAAGAGAAGCCAAAGACTATGATAATAACATTGATATGCAGTTCCCAAATAGACAATCAGAAGAAAGTCAATAAAAATGAGAGACAGCACTGGGCTAAGAGGAAGACGCACCTTCTCTGGTTGATTTAATTCGATCGCTGTAGAGAACCTGGACTGCTCTCTTATTCTACCTAAAATTTTTTTCCTAATGACAAAATCTACCTACACTTAAAATTGTAACAAAGATTCAACTTCTGTTAAGGAACCAGAAAAGTTCTCTGTGCACCAGGGGAAGTTACCAGATTGGCTCTCACAAGAAAAGTTAATTGCCTTCAGAGGTCACACTGAATTTGAATCCCACCCTGCTACTTCCTGGTTCTAGAAGTTGGGTAAATTATCTGACCTCTTTCCCTCAGTGTTCCTAGCAGTAAAATAGGTAAAACTGTATCTGCCTCATAGCATTATGGGGTGGGGTAATTGAAAATATATATGAAATGCCCAGTACTCCTAGTATTTTAGTGTTTTTCTTTCTACCAAAAACCTTTATTATTTAGCTCGAATAGGACTTCTTTGGCCCAGAATGATCTCTTTATTCTCTGAAATTCTGTAGAGTTCAATATATTTTTTTCATCCCATGTATTTCATCTAGTCCTAATCACAAGTTCCACAATCCCTAGCATTGCTTGAGAACCAAGCAGTGTTCATAAAGTACATGCTGACTCACTAAGAGAAGGGATCTGTTAGTCACCTAGGGGTCCATACTGTGAAGGTAGAGAACATAGTCACATGGCAAGTGGGAAATCTATAACACATTAGCAGAAATGCTTTAACAACAACAAAAAAAACCCCCCACAAATTCAGACTACTGATGGATCCTTCGAATTCTCCCAAATAGCCAAATGAAAGTCATAAGACGGTTCTTCCTCAAGGAAACTTTACAAGAGATAAGCACAGAATGAAACAGGAACACACTTGTGTTTAAAAACTTTGCTTAGTTTACCTCTGAACTTGACCTCATACAATACAATGTGTTTTACAGTGAAAACCACAGGTGGCTCTAGCAGCTCAGGATTTTAGATATTAAAATGCTATTAAGCACATCATACCATAAAAATTCTGAAGGGTATTGTCCTCTTAATGGGGAAACAGACAACCTAACTGATTAGCCCAAGGCACCATACAGTTCAGCTCCCCCACCAACCCTGCATCCCGGCTTACCTGTGGTCGCCTCCCACTGTGACACAGCTGTAGCCACTTGACACGGCTCTACTAACCACCTCAGCCAGTTCCTGGTTGGCAAGGCCCACTGAGCGAGGATTCACTATCAGGTTGTTGTACAGATCATCTTTAGGGACTGGAGTAAAATTCAAATCTCCAAAATCTTTTAGGCGGCAGCCTAGAATCAAATGGGGGATGACAAGATTAATTGTTTATGTTATTCCAGCTCTTACTGGCCTGGGCCACAAATCAGAACTTGTGACAAAGTGCATGTCATACTCCTTTTGCCACAGTAAAATTCAAAATGTCACGTGACTGGCAGGATGGTCTTAGTCCTCCCAGCAGTCCTGTGGGGGTAGATCCCATTAAGAACACCATTTTGCAGACAAACAGATTTGAAAAGTGAAGCCCAGAAACATCCACTGATTTAACCTAACAGTCACAAAATTGGTAGCAATTAGACCTCAGATATCCCAGAGTTAGAGTATAAGTAAAATACCAAGAGGACCCAATAGGATTTACAGAAAATTAAGTAGTACTGTTGATTTAGAGCAAAAATACATAAAGCTTATAACATGAAAATTTCTAATAAAAGGCCAGTCTGAGGATCTCAAGCATTCTAAAAAAGAAATGTCAAACATTTGTTACTTAACAAAAGTCCCAGGCAGTGTTTTAATTTCTTGATATAAATTTTTTTTAAGACTTTGTTAGAACAGGGGGAGGGGTGAGGGAGAACAAGAGAATCTCAAGCAGACCCTGCACTGAGCGCAGAGCCCGACATGGGGCCTGATCTCAACGCTGAGATCATGACCCCATCGGTAACCAAGAGTTGGACGCCCAACTGACTGAGCCACCCAGGCGCCCCGCTTGATGTAAATTATTACTTAAACAATCCTATTAGGCAACTAAAACATACCATTCTATAGACAAGGAAACAGAAAGTTCCCAAATCACATAGCTGCTAAGTGGCAGAAGCAGGACCCAAATTCAGGCCATCTGCCCCCAAAATGTATATTGACTACAGTTTGTTTCCCAAAGAATCCCTCTTGATTTCTCCCTGTTAAGAGCAAGTCAGACCTTTTCCAAAAAACCGACAAGATGGCAGAAACGCAGCAGCAGCAGCAGTGAACCTTCCACAGGGTCACCTGCAGCACACGCCTAGACCAGCTGCTGGCCACGTCCTCTGAGTAGCTGACACAGCGGCGGTAGTGGCCGCAGCACCTGCAGAGCCAGCCAGGAGGCACCGCCCAGAGAAGCCAGAGATGGTGAATACACACACGCGGGGCAGCAACATCCAGCCCGAGATGGTGGGCAGCATGGTGGGCCTCTGCGACAGCAAGACCTTCATCCAGGTGGATCACAGGCCCAAGATGATCAGCCACTACCTGAGCGAGTTCTCCGCCACGGAACAAACCCATGAATGTGACTGGCCCACCATCTGGGCCACCCACTCCTCCTCCCCCTCAAGTAGCCTGTTTGGTCAATAAAAGCATAGACTTCTCTTAAAAAAAAAAAAAAACTTTTGAAATAACTAGTGATATGTTCTGACAATATGCTATAATATTTTCACTCTTAGATTTCACATATTTCAAAGAACTATGCCACCAGTCACTGTACATTGACTTTCTTACCTAAGTACCATTCTTGCCATGTAACTACATATCAATAAATTGGTTGGTGCCATTTTTGGGGTTAGGCCTAAGTAATCCAGCTCTCTCATGAACAGATCTGAACTATCAGAGAACATAACGTTACCATAGATTGTAGCTTAAGGCCCTGCTTCTCAAACGAGTCCGGGTATGTTGGAGGGTAAGGGAGGGAAGTGGTCACAGGATAGTAATACTGGCAGAGATTTGTGTTAAAGATCTGGATTAAGATCAGGGATTCCCTGCTGGCTCAGTCGGTTAATTATCTGCCTTTGGCTCAGGTCATGATCTCAGGGTCCTGGGATGGAGCCCTGCATCTGGCTCCCTGCTCAGCGGGGGGTCTGCTTCTCCCTCTCCTTCTACTCCTTCCACTTGTGCTCGAGCATGTTCTCGCTCTGAAATAAAATCTTAAAAAAAAAAAAAAGATTTGGATTAAGATCGGCATGGACCCATCTTAAATTTAAACTGTACAGTTTTAAGCTTTACTTTTTTTTTTTTTTTTTTTTTTTTTAAGATTTTTAACTTGAGAGAGAGAGAGAACGTGCACACACAGGGTGTGTTGAGAGGCAGAGAATCCCAAGCACACTCTGCACTGAGTATGAAGCTGGACGCAAGGCACAATCCCACAACTATGAGATCCCGACCTGAGCTGAAACCATGGGTCGGACAACTTAACCAGCTGCGCCACCCAGGTGCCCCTTGAGCTTTACCTTGAACCCTTTGTCAATTCAAAGCTAAATAACGGAGAATGTAAAAATTTGAGGAGCAATGACTTGTAACATAAGGCCAACCAAGGGATCAAGGGATCACTACTAAAAAGGATGCCAGGAGCAAAACAGAAAACTATTTTATTCCCCAAATTAAGATGCAGCTACAGCTGCAGAACTCTATGTATCTTTTGGTCACTGCATTTTATTTTATTAAAGATTTTTATTTGTCAGAGAGCACACAAGCAGAGGGAATGGCAGGCAGGCAGAGGGAGAAGCAAGCTCCCCGCTAAGCAAGGAGCCTGTTGCAAGACTAGATCCCAGAACCCTGGGATCATGACCTGAGCCAAAGGCAGACGCTTAACCAACTGAGCCACCCAGGTGTCCTGGTCATTGCATTTTAAAATATCCTAAAAATGCTCAGAGATCTGGAAAACTGAAAGAAAAAGTATTGAAGGTAGGAGAAGAATATGATAATAGGCCAAAGCCATTGGGATCCAAGAGAAAAAAATAATGACCAAATAAAACATCTATAAAAATCCTTTAAAAAGATAAAAACCCATAAGGGATATGCACTTTACAAGATCGCAGTACAGGGGCACCTGGGTGGTTCAGTCAGTTAAGTATCTGCCTTCAGCTCGTCATGATCCCAGGGTCCTGGGATCGAGCCCCACACATCAGGCTCCCTGCTCAGCAGAGAGCCTGTTCTCCCTCTCCTGCTCCTGATACTTGTGTTCTGTTAAATAATCTTTAAAACAAAAAAAAAAAATCTCGATACAGGAGGACAGTTTAGATTTAAGAGAAATGAAGCTTTAAATTTTAAGTCAATATCGGGTCTTGCTATTGGCAGCAGTCTTAGGCTGGACAGATTTTGTCGGTTTCTACTTCCCTATCCATGTTTATCTCTGTACCCCCTTAAGCCACATCAAGCATTTAGGTTTTTACTAGGTATAAGACATCAGGGCATGCCTGGTGTTTTATAATATTAGGTGTATAAATAGAGGTTTATGATCTAATTAGTGTTAATATTAATTGTTGAAGACAACTTTAACTCATTTAATCTTCACATGACAATAAATACATAGGAATCAACCCAGTGGATAAGTGACATAACTTGGGGGAACACATAAGTCCAGTAATGGAATCTAGGATGTAGACTCCAATACGATAAGTGTGACAGAATACAGTACTCAGCTCACAATTATTTACTTATCAGAAGAAAGCTGCAGAAAGCCTATAAGAGAACCTAAAGAGAATTTGGCAGCCTTAGATAACGCTCTCCAAGGAAGAGAGCTAAACTTCACAAAAGGATTTTGGTCATTAAATGTGTAACTCTGAAGTGGATCACCAGATTAATTCACAGCCTAGACAGTGAGTTCTTCTAAGATTGTCCAACTCCATTTGCTCTCATTCCTTACTCATCAAACAGCCTCCCTCTGGTTATTCACTTAGTCTCCCTGTTGCCCTCCTATCAGTAAGAGGGCTTCCTACCAGTGGATGTCGGAAGGACTGTTGCTCACCATAATTATGAATGGGCATTTTGGTATATACATCACAGTTAGCATAAGTCTCTGGGTTGTAAAGCCTGATAAGCTCTGCACATAAAGATTTCTGTTCCTAACTAATTCAAAGAGATGTATGCACCCCTATGTTCATTGCAGCATTTTTTACAATTACCAAGATAGGGAAGCAGTGTGTGTGTGTATTAAAATGATTTTATTTATATAAATTTTATTTATATAAATTATACACACACACACACACACACATATATATACACACACTCAGCCATAAAAAGAATGAAATCTTGCCATTTGCAACAACATGGATAGACCTAAAGGGCATTACGCTGAATGAAATAAGTCAGACAGAAAGATACCATATGATTTCACTTGTATGTGGAATCTAAAAAACAACAGAAATAGACTCAAATACTGTTGCTGGGGGCAGGGGTGGGGGGCAGGGTAGAGGGATGAGCAAAGTAGGTGAAGGGGATTAAGAGGTGCAAACTTCCAGTTATAAGTCCTGTATAGTAATACTGTAGTAACGTTGTTTGGTGACAGGTGGTGACCACTTATGGTGTGCACTGTGGATCTATAGACTTGTTGAATCACTTTGTTGTGTACTTGAAATTACTACTGTATGTCAACTATACTTCAGTAATAAAATTTAAACAAAACAAACCCTTCTCTTCCTGGGTCTACAAAGCTGAGGACCAGACCCCCTGAAGGGATTAGTATCTTGAGAGACCCTGCCTGAGTTTCCCACTCTATAGGACCCCAATTGTGCTTTTTATTTTTAAAAAAAAAAAAAAAAAAAAAAAAAAAGCCAGGTAAGAACTAAGGACAATGAGTGTTAAAGGACTGAAAGGAAATTCAGATAGGATTGCGGGGTGGAGAGGGGGTCAAGGAATGACTCCTCCATCAAGTAAAGTTTGTACCAGCATTGTTTTGCTATTTTTGTTGTTCTCTTTCCTTACTGGTAGAAAATTTTTGTAAAATTGATAAGTATCTAATGGTGCAAGTCCCTACCCCATTTCCCAGGCTTGACTGCTCTAGCTTTGCAGACCTTTGTGCATAAACACAATTCATACTATTCTTTTTAAATACAGTTGTTGGAGTAGGCTTAACTGCTTTACCTAACCTTCCCCAAAACAATGGCTCATACTCAGTAAATTGGTTTCTTGTTCATTTAACATCTGGGTTGGCTGTTCTAGGTCAGCAGGGGGCTCTCCTTCATGCAGTGATTCAGAGACCAAGCTCCTTCTGGCTTGTGGCTCTTCCATCACTAGGGCTTTGCCATCTGTGTAGCTAAGGTTGGGTCTCCCTGGGGTCAAAGCAGCAGGAGAGGAAGTAAGCCCTGAGAAGGCACATCTACTTTTAAAGGCCCTGGCCTAGAAAGCACTGGCATGATATATTCTGGGCACTTAACGAGAATAATATGCAGCCAAGAATACTGTATCTAGCTAGGCTCTCATTGAAAATAGATAAAAAGCTTCCAGGACAAACAAAAACTAAAAGAATTTGTGAACACCAAACCAGCCCTACAAGAAATATTGAAAGGGGTCCTCTAAGTAAAGAGAGAGCCTAAAAGTAACAGACCAGAAAGGAACAGAGACAATATACAGTAACAGTCACCTTACAGGCAGCACAGTGGCACTGAATTCATATCTTTCAATAGTTACCCTGAATGTAAATGAGCTAAATGCCCCAATCAAAAGACACAGGGTATCAGATTGGATAAAAAAAAGCAAGACCCATCGATATGCTGTCTGCAAGAGACTCATTTTAGACCCAAAGACACCTCGAGATTTAAAGTGAGGTGGTGGAAAACCATTTACCATGCTAATGGACACCAAAAGAAAGTTGGGGTGGCAATCCTTGTATCAGACAAATTAGATTTTAAACCAAAGACTATAATAAGAGATGAGCAAGGACACTATATCATACTTAAAGGGTCTATCCAACAAGAAGATCTAACATTTGTAAATATCTATGCCCCTAACATGGGAGCAGCCAATTATATAAGCCAATTAATAACAAAAGCAAAGAAACACATCGACAATACAATAATAGTGGGGGACTTTAACTAACACCTCTCTCACTGAAATGAACAGATCATCTAAGCAAAAGGAAATAAAGGCTTTAAATGACACACTGGACCAGATGGACCTCAGATAAATTCAGAACATTCCATCCCAAAGCAACAGAATACACATTCTTCTTCTCTAGTGCCCATGGAACATTGTCCAGAATAGATCATATCCCAGGTCACAAATCAGTCTCAACCGGTACCAAAAGATTGGGATCATTCCCTGCATATTTTTGGATCACAGTGCTTTGGAACTAGAACTCAATCCCAAGAGGAAAGTTGGAAAGAACTCAAATACATGGAGGCTAAAGAGCATCCTACTAAAGAATGAATGGGTCAACCAGGAAATTAAAGAATTTTAAAAATTCATGGAAGCAAATGAAAACACTTTGATGCAGCAAAGGCAGTCCTAAGAGGGAAGTATATAGCAATACAAGCCTTTCTCAAGAAACAAGAAAGGTCTCAAATACACAATCTAACCCTACACCTAAAGGAGCTGAAGAAAGAACAGCAAATAAAGCCTAAACCGGGCAGGAGAAGAGAATCAATAATGATCTGAGCAGAAATCAATGAAACA